CGCTCACAGATCAGAGCACCGGCCAGGAAAGCAGTGACCACACCTCTCCTTAGATCATACCCAGAATCAGCTCAGAAAACAGCTGCCCAAAAAACTTCAACCTTGGGACAGGGCCCCTTCTGGTCTTGGAGCAGAGCCCAACTTTAAAATAAAGATAAAAGTCAAGACATGGGCTGGAAAAAAAAAAGAACCTGACTATAGCAAGTTACTGTGGTGACAGAGAAGCTCAAAACACAAACTCAGAAGAGAACAACGAAGTCAAGACTGCTGAATTCAAAGCCTCAAAGAAAAATGTGAAATGATATCAGGCCCAAAAAGAACTCCTGGGTGAGCTCAAAAGGGATTTTAAAACTCAAATAAGAAAGGTAGGAAAAAAATTGGGGAAAGAAATGAGAGTGATGAAAGAAAATCATGAAAAAAGAGTGAACAGCTTGGTAAAGGAGGCACAAAAAAAAAATACTGAGGAAAATAACATCTTAAAAAAACTGTATGGGCCAAATGGTAAAAGAGGCACAATAATCCACTGAAGAGAAGAACTCCTTAAAAAAGCAACTGGCTGAAAGGAAAAGAAGTTACAAGAGCTCACTGAAGAAAATAATACCTTAAAAATGAGAATTGAGCAAGTGGAAGCCAATGATCCATGAGACATCAAGAAACAATATGACAAAATCAAAAGAATTGAAAAATAGAAGAAAATGTGAAATTTCTCATTGGAAAAACAAATGATCTAGAAAGCAGATTAAGGAGAGATAATTTCAGAATTTTTGGACTACCTGAAATCTATGATCAAAAAAGGAGCCTAGATATCATCTTTCATGAAATTTCTAGAACCAGAGGGTAAACTAGAAACAAAAATAATCCATTGATAACCTCCTGAGATTCCAAAATAAAAACTCCCAGGAATATTACAACCAAATTCCAGAATTACCAGGTCAAGGAGAAAATATTGCAAGCCCCCAGAAAGAAATAATTCAACACTGTGGAGCCATAGTCAGGATCACAGTAGATTTAGCAGCTTCTATGTGAAAGGATAGGTGCGGGGGGAACATGATATTCCAAAAGGTAAAAGAGCTAGCATTAGAGCCAAGAATAACCTATCCAGCAAAACTAGATGTAATCCTTTGGGGGGGGAAATGGATATTCAATGAAATAAAGTACTTTCAAGCATTCCTGAGGAAAAGACCTAGCTGCTAGGGGCAGCTAGGTGGTGCAGTAGATAGAGCTCTGGCCTTGGAATCAGGAGAACTTGAGTTTAAATCTGGCCTCATACACTTGACATCTATTAGCTATGTGACCCTGGGTAAGTCACTTAAACCCCATTGCCTCACCAAAAAAAAAAAAAAGAAAGACCAGAGCTGAATAGAAAATTTGACTCTCAAATACAAGACTCAAGAGAAGCATGAAAAGGTAAACAGGAAAGAGAAATAATAAAGGATTTAATAAGATTAAACTGTTTATAATCCAATATGAGAAGATGATACTTTTAACTCCTAAAAACTTTATCATTATTAGATGAAAGAAAGGAATATACATAGACAGAGGACACAGGTGAGTTGAACATGATGGGATGATATCTAAAAAATAAATAAAATTAAGGGATTAGAAAGAGGGATGCACTGGGAGAAGCAGGAAGGGAGAAGTGGAATGGGTAAATTATTTCACACAAAAAAGGCAAAAGAGCTTTTACAGTGGAGGGGAAAGTGGGAGGGGAATGCTTGAATCTTACTCTGATCAGAATTGGCTCAAAGAGGAAATAACATACGCACACTGGTGGGGATAGAAATCTATCTTACCCTACAGGAAAGTGGGAGGGAAAGAGATAAGAGAAAAGGGGGGGCTGATAGAAAGAAGGGGAATTGAGGGGCAGCAGTCAGAAGCAAAACACTTTTTTTTTTTAAAGTGAGGCAATTGGGGTTAAGTGACTTGCCCAAGGTCACACAGCTAGTAGGTGTCAAGTGTTTGGTCTGAGGTCGGATTTGAACTCAGGTCCTCCTGATTTCATGGCCAGTGCTCTATCCACTGCGCCACCTAGCTGCCCAGAAGCAAAACGCTTTTGAGAATGGACAGGGTAAAGTAAGAGAAAGAGTAAGATAAACAAGGGGGAAATAGGATGGAGGGAAATACCCAGTTAGTAATCATAACCATGAAAAAAAATTTACAGCAAGTCTTTCTGATAAAGGACTCATTTCTCAAGTATATAGAGAACTAAGTCAAATTTATAAAAATAAGAGCCATTTCCCAATTGATGAATGGTCAAAGGATACGAACAAGCAGTTTTCAGATGACGATATCAAGCTATCTTGTCATATGAAAAAATGTGACAAATCACCATTGATTAGAGAAATGCAAATTAAAACAACTCTGAAGTACCACCTCACCCCTATCAGATTGGCTGATATGACAGAAAAGGAAAATGATAAATGTTGAAGGGGATGTGGGAAAATTGAGACACTAATACACTGTTGGTGTTGTGGACTAATCCAGCCATTCTGGAGAGCAATTTGGAACTATGCCCAAAGGGTTATAAAAGTATGCATATCCTTTGACCCAGCAATACCACTACTAGGTCTGCATCCCAAAGGTTTAAAAAAATTTTTTTTTTTTAGGCAATTGGGGTTAAGTAACTTGCCCAGGGTCACACTGCTAGTAAGTGTCAAGTGTTTGGCCTAAGGCCGAATTTGAACTCAGGTCCTCCTGACTTCAGGGCTGGTGCTCTATCCACTGTGCCACCTAGCTGTCCCCCAAAGATATTTTTTTAAAGGGAAAAGGACCTATTTGTATAAAAATATTTATAGCAGCTCTTTTTGGTGGCAAAGAATTGGAATTTGAGTGTATGCCCATCAATTGCGGAATGGCTGAACAAGTTGTGGTATATGAATGTAATGGAACACCATTGTGCTATAAGATTTGATGAACAGGCTGACTTCAGAAAAACCTGGAAAGACTCGTATGGACTGATGCTGAGTAAAGTGAGCAGAACCAGAAGGACACTGTTCATAGTAACAGCATTACTGTATGATGATCAACTGTGAATAACTTAGCTATTCTCAGTAATTTGATAGTCCAAGACAATTCTAAAGAACTTATGATGAAAAAATGCCACCCATCCCCAGAGAAAGAACTGATGTAGTCTGAATGCAGAATGAAGCATACTTTTTTTTAAACAAAACAACTTTATTTTTCTTTTCATCTGTATTTTCTTTCACAACATGACTAATGCGGAAATACGATTTGCATGACTGCACGTGTATAACCTATTTAAAGAAAGAAGTTGGAAAAGAGACACTGCTTAGTAACTGGACAGGTAGAACAGTTTCTGCCTGTGCTGTAAAGTATCGAGGGCTTGTATGGTCTGATGCTGAGTGAAGTGAGCGGAACCAGGAGAATGTTGAACACAATAACAGCCATGTTGTACAATGACTAACTTTGATAGACTTAGCCCTTCTCAGCAATACAAGGATTTAATTCATCTCCAAAGGCCTCATGATGGAAAATGCTATCCACAGCCAAAGAAAGAACTATGGAGTTTGAATGCAGATCTATGCGTACTATTTGCTATTTTTTTTCTTCTGTTGAGTTTTGTTTCCTCTTTCTGGTGGTTCCTCCTATTGGTTCTAATTCTCCCTTACAACATCACTAATGTGCAAATATGTTTAATAGGAATGTATATGTATAGCCTATATCAGATTGTGTGCAGTATTGGGGAGGGTGATGGGGACGGAGGGGGAGAAAAATTTTAAACTCAAAGGCATATGGAAGTGATTGTTGATAAATCAAAATAAATTAATTTAAAAAAAATAAAGCATCGAGGGAAGATCCCCTCCATCTCCCATTGACACAAGCCGCTCACCCAGTCTCCGCATGCATTGGGAGTGGGTGAATGGACCCTGCACCTGCTCATTCCATATACATGATCAGAGCCTCGCCTCGCATTTAACCTGTGAAGCTGGTATTACCATAATATTCTCCTGGCTGTACAGATGATGGAACTAGGGCTCACAAAGGTTAAGGGATCATGATCAAGTAACTTGGGTCAGAGGCAGGATTTAAATGCAGTTCTTCAGCATTCAGGCTAAGTACATAATCTGCTGCTCTAGGAGAGAGAAATGTAGAGGGGCCTTCCACCTATGTCCAAAGAATCAACTGTTAACACATAGATGTAGCCTATATACATAAACACAGATAATATACAGATGGATGTAGCATACACATAATGTAGGCACACATAACTCATGTTTGTTAGTTATATATTCATTTTATGTTATTTATATTTATTTTATGCTGTATCACTTCTATTTCTACTATATTTATATTTATGATTGTCATATTGTATCATCAATATTTATATTATAGTTGTCCATCTATGTCTATATCTTAACATATTATATTTAAACATTATGTGCTATATTTTCATATTTATATTAATTTACACATTTATTATATTATGATACATACATTTATTCATATATTAACATGTCATGTTAATACATTTTTATATATTTTATTCATATATCTGCATCTATATAGTGATTTGTATTTGTATTTTATATTTCATTTCAGTCTATATAGTATATATTTTATGTAATGTATATATTCATATACTGCATATATTTGTTTTCATATTTTATATTTTACCTATGCTTATATAATCATGTTATGTCTATATATTTTATTTGTTCATATAGTCATATTATGTACATACATTTGTATTTTAGTTATATTTATATGGTCACAATATATTTGTATATTTTATGTATATGTTGACATGTTAGTACATTATATTTATATACTATTTGTGTATTTTATTTATATTTATATAGTCATATAATATATTCATATGGTGTCACATTTATACACTATATGAAATCAACGTAATTCATAGAAGAATGTGATCTACAGGTTAGGGGAGGTGAATTCTAGTGATCCAAGTGGATTGCAAAACCAACGTGAGTCAGCAGTGAGACCGCGCAGAAAACAAAAGCTAATGCGATCTGGTCTAGGACGCTACGAGGTTAAGAGACCTGCCTGGGGACACACAGAGCAGGATTTGAACCCCAGGGCTTCTTGATTCTAAGACCAGCTCTTGGTCTCCAGGTGGCGAAGAGAGAGGTATGTCTTTTCTAGGGGAGATGAGAGTACTGCAAGGCTACCCCTGCCCTGCATTTCATAGCAGCTATGCTGTGCACACTCCTGGATGCAGACTTTAGGAAGGGCACTAAGGAGGGCATAGTGGTCAAAGGAGCAGGGGACGTCGAGCCAGGGTGGAAATAGTGCCGGATTTAGAGTCAAATCCCTCCTCCAACATTTAATAGCTGTGTAACCCCGGACAGATAACTGAACTGCTGTGGGCCTCAATTTTCTCTTCTGTAAAATGGGGGCTCAGGTCGCTGTGAGGCATCTTGTCCAACACCCCCATTTTACAGATGAGAAGACTGGTGTCGGGAAAGGCTAACTTTCCAAAGGTCACACAGATAGCAACAGGGCAGCGCCTCTTCTACGGCACCGTGATGCCTCTCCCAGATGAGATGCCAGTCTCATTAAGCCAGTCTTTCTTAAGCGCTTGCTGTGTGCCAAGCCCAAGGGGCACCAATAGGAAACGCAGACTGTCACAGGGGTCCTATCATCAGAAGCGCTTGCACTTGAGCTAGGGATCGGTAGGGAGGCGGATTTCTGCTTGGGGGAATGAAAATCTTGGTCCTGGAGCAAAGAGCTGTCTCAGTGGCTGGTGAGCTCCCCGTCACTGGAGGTGTTCAAGGGGAGCCGGGGTGGTACAGCGGGGTTTCCTGACCAGCGCCTGGTTCCACTAGTCAACCCCAAGTCCCTTCCGGCGCTTGGCCGGCCGGAGGACCGGGATGCCACCAGGTGCCCGGGAAGAGATTTGAACCCACACTAGGGCGGGGAGCGGTAGCCGCGAGAGGAGCCTCCCCCGCCCGCTCCCACCTCTCCCTCCCCGCCCTCCTCGCACTGCCACGTCTCGAGCGCTCCGACGCCGGCAGGAGGTGGGCGGGGCTACGTCAGCACCGCCCACCTCCCCATTCGTCCTCCTCCTCCCGCGGGTCTCCCAGGCTCGGGAGCGGAGGGAGCGGGCCCCGCCTCCGGAAGTGGCCGGGGAGGGGCGTCGTGACGTCCTTCCGGCGAGTGGCTGGCGGCCTTCGGAGCTGCTGCTGTGTTGGCCCCGGTGAGGGAGAGGGAGGCTCGGAGCCGCCGGAGCCGGAGCCGCCGCCCGAGGAGCGCCAGGCGGGCCCGAGTGAGTGCGGGCCGGGGGCGTGAGGCGGGCGGGGTTCGGCGCCGCCGGGGAGAGCGGTCGGGCCGGGCCCGAGGCGGGTGGGGGGAAAGTGACACGCAGGCGGCCCTGGCCGCGCGGGGCCCGGAGCTGGGGAGACCCGAGCTCGGCCCCTCCGGGCCTCAGCTTACCAGCCTGGAACCTGGGCCCCGGGAGCGGCGAGGGGCGTTTGGGAAGCTCTTTGGGAGCCCCGAAGCGCTTCCCAGGTGCCAGCCGTCAGCGTCCGAGCCCCGGCCGGTCCGTGGGACCGGGGCCGCCTCCGGGCCTGGGCCCCTTTGTGTAGTTAATTAAAAAGAAGAAAGTTCCCGATCCAGGCGACTCCGGGAGAGCGAGCTGCGGAGGAGGTGCTGCCTGGTGTCCGCGGAGGAAGTTTCCTCCTCCGGGAGTTCCTGGGACCCGGGCCCCTCACTGATGCTTCTCCTTCCGCGTTTGTTTGCTCATTTTTTGTCTGCCCCTTTGTTTCCCTGGGTCCCTCCCCCAGCCCCCTCCGTCCAAATAAACGGCGTTGAGCAATCCCGGCCTTGGCCGGCTTCCCGGCTCCGGACGGACGGACGGACTCCTGGACCCGCGGCTCTTCTTTCGCCGAAGGCATTCTTCCGGCTCTGCTCACTCCGCAGGCGGGGACATTTTTGTGGTGGGGTCGGTCCTGGGCCTTTTTTTTCCTTTTGTGTCCGGAGAGTACCCCTCTGGCTGGGTCGGTTCCAGGCTGGGAGGTACCAAACCGCCTTGGTGGAGGGAGTGCCCTCACCTGGGAGTATCTTTGCCATTTCGGCACATGATGGGTATTGACTGTGCCGCTGAAATCCCCTTCCAATCCCCATCTGCATAGTTCCCTTTCAAAGTGCTTTATTTCAAAAGGTCTATGAGTTAGGTCAGTGAAGCTGTATTAAGTGTCGATTAGTTTTCTAGGGTTATGAGTTGAAGATTTTGGTAAAGGGAGTTTGCTTCTCCCATGAAATGACACATACTGGTTTTTGTTTTAAGTGTCAGGTACTGTACTGGGCTCTGGGGATACAAGGTCAAAAATGAAACAGTACCCAGCCTTTAGGGGTTTACATTCTGTTGAAGAGAAGCAACATGATCACAGAAAATTAAAATGCTAAATGTATAGAAAATAATTTCTGGGGGACCAGTGTTGATGGATCAGTATAGGCTACCCCTAAGAGGTTACACTTGGCTGGACTTTGAAGGAAGCCTGGGATTCTGTGAGTCGCAGGTGAGGAGAGAGCACATTCCAGGCAGGAAGGCCAGCCTGCTTAATGGTACCAAGACAGGAGATGGACGGTCATGCACAGTGAAAAGCATATTGGCCAATTTGGCAGTGACAGTGCATGAAGATGTAAAATGCAGTAGACCTTGTTTGGAAAGGCATGCTGAGTCAAACGGGGGTTGTATTTTATCCTAAAGACAGGAGAGGGACACTGGAGCTTCTTGAAGAGAGTGACGATTTTAGACCCATGTGTAAAAGTTTTTAGGAGCATAAAGTGTTGGCAGTTGTGAGCAGTGTAGATTGGAAAGATAAGAGGTTGAAGAGAAGATGACCAATTGAGAAACTGTTGCAATAGACTAGGCCAGAAATGTTGAGGGTCTGAACTTTCAGAGGAACTTTGTGGGTGGAGATAAAGAGATGGATGTGGGTGATGATGTGGAGTTAGAATTGTTAAGATTTGATAGCTGATTGTATGTGAGGGTGAGACAAGAAGCCAAGATGAGTCTTGAGTTTGTACACCTGGGTGACTGGGTTAGTGGTGTCAGCAAAACAGGAAGTCAGCAAGAGAGGAGGATTTGAGAGGGAAAGAGAATGATTTCTGTTTTGGACCTGTTGTGTTTAAGATGCTTATGGGACAGCTAGTTGGAGATGTTCCAGAATCGGTTGGTGAATTGAGACTGACATTCAAAAGAGACACTAGGGCTGGGCTGGATATATGGATGTGGGGCTGACAAAGAAGTGGGTAGTTGAAGTTATAGTTATAAAGCTGATGATGTCACTGAGAGAAAATATATATAGAGAGAAGAAGGTGCAAGACAGAGCTCTGGAGTCCACTCAGGTGGAGGAGAAGGGTCAGGAAAAGTGACCCTGCAAAGGAAACTGAGAAAGCTTAGAACCAGGAGAGCAGTGTCCTGAAAAGCAGTGAGGAGAGAGTAGCCAGGAGGGGGTGATGGTCAGCACTGTGAAGTGCTGGAGAGAGGTCAAGAAGCAGAAGGACTGAGGGACAAGGCCATCAGATGGGGCAGTTAATAGATCATCAGTCACCTTGGAGAGAGCCCTATCAGCTGAGTGAGGTCGGAAGCCAGAGTGTATGGGGATGAGGAAAGGAGGCAGTGAGTGGAAAAAGCTGCTTCTGGCAGCTTAACTCCCGGGAAGAGAGAGGAGGCTCATTGCCTGGGAGAGTCCCCTCTGACACTCACTACCTGTGGGAGTCTGGGTCAAGTTATGTTCTTTGAACCTCCATTTCCTTAGGTATGAAGTGGGGATAATACCTGAGTGGCAGCGTGGTGTGATGGTTTGGGGCCAGCCTTGGAGTCACGTGTGACACAACATTAATCTGTCATCTCCAGGCCTTTGATGGTGTATTGACCACGCCTCTCTCCCCCCTGCATCTTAGAATCCCTCGTTTCATTCAAAGCTCTGCTCAAATGCCACGTTTTTTGATTTATACCAAGACCGCTCACTGCCCCTCCCGCCCGCCCCCCCCCCCGCTGCTTTTGTGTGTACTTATGTGTTGTCTCCTTCTTTGAGATGTAGGCTCTTTCAAGACAGGGATTGTTTCCTGTTTGTGTACCACAGTGGCTGGCTTAGAGTGGATGCTTAAAAAATGCTCGTTGATAGATTTTGTGACAACGGGCATGTGCCCCAGACAGCTTTGAGACTAGCTAATAATAGCTAACCTGTATCCAGAGTTTTTAAATTTACAAAGTACTTTACATATGTTATCTCACTGATCCTTGCAACAACCCTGAGAGAGAGATGCTGAGTGTTGCAGATCACAGTCAATGAAGTGAGTTTCCACAGAACAGTTACCCACCTAATGAAGTGGCAGAGCCAGAGGAAGAGAATGGATGGGCCAGTGTGAGAGCTCGTGACTGATCCGGGTCAGAGCCTGCCTGGGAATTTGGTCACCTTGACCAGGGCCTTTTCTTCCCCTTGTTGAGTCTCAGGTTTCCATTTCAGGAAGATGAGATGCTTGGATTAGATCAGGGCTTCTTCACCATTTTTGTGCCAGCACCCTGGTAGAAGTCTGGTGAGGCCAATGAGCTTTTCTCAAAGTCAGGTTTTTAAATGCAATAAAATAAAACATAGAGGACTACAAAGGAAACTGATTATGTTGCAATATAAGAAAATATCAACATGTTAAAAAAAATTCATGGGCCTCAGGTTAAGAACCCTTGGATTATATTTTATTTCTGGGGCCTCATCAATTTCTGAGTCCTTTGATTTAGAAGTACACATGAATTTAAAGATTTCTCTATGGACAGACAGAAACAAAGAAGTTATTTTCCCCACCTCACACATACTAAGCAGCAGAGAAGTTTTGAAGTGTGGATCAAGCTAAGAGCTACACCTTCTTCCTTCTTCTCTGTTTCTTTTTCCTAGCCTTTACTCTAGAAGGAAATGTAGGGGGTTATCTCTGTAGCCCTTCACTTCACAAGGGGAGAAACTAGGCCCAAAGGAGGTAATCCAGTAGTAGTAACACTGTGCCAACCTGGGCTAGTAGATGGCAGAGCAGCAAAGGCCTTGGCCCCAGGGCTCTGGCATCTCACTGAGTGTTTGCTCCTCCCAGACTCCGAGGCCTCATTTGTCCTTGTGGAGACAGTGGGCACACCT